AATAATTTAATATACATGATTTGTAATTAGATATTAATGCTTAACAGTAATTTAACTGCAGTGACCATTAATGACTTAAATCAGGGATGGGCAACCTACGGTCCTCATGCAAGCCGCATGCGGCCTGCATTAACATTTTTTGCAGCCCACATCACACAAAATATAAATAAATATATCAATTTCCCAGCTTAAGGAAGTATACAGCAAAAGTTCAAATATTATTTTCTACAACTTATATATGCAAACAATTTTTCTGCAGTGAATTTAGTAAAAATTAAAACAAGAAACTGGCTAACAGACACATTGAAACTAATTTAAAACTAGCAGTGACTAATATTTAACCAAATATTTCTGATATATTATATTTACATCAGTTCCAGAAGATAAATTAAGTACACCTATACTAATTTATAATTATGTATGAATAAATAATTGTGATTTACCAGCATTTTTTTTCCTCTTTTCTCTTGTACACAGTCCACGTCAGTTCAAAAGTTTTGAAATGTGGCCCTTACATAGAAAAAGGTTGCCTATCCATGACTTAAATGATAAAGTGAAAAAAAAATTTATGCAAAGGCTTGCGATGGAAATCCCCATATAAAAAAAAATATGGAAAATGCTCATTTTTCACTATGATTTCAAAATGAACTAAAACAATACATAAAGTTAAGAGATTATAGGTCACAGTTCAAAATATCAACACAACAAAAGGAAAAAAAATAGGCAGAATTTCTGCTAGCATGACTAATATTAGCTGGTTAATATTGATAGTAACATGAACAAGATTTTGATACTTTAACTTCAATTGAATTCATGATTAATCTACTAGCCAGTACTGTAATATGTAACAGCAAAGTGTACCAAAAGTCCAGAAATGATGAGAATCACTAATCTACAGTACTGATTATAGTTATAAAATTACAATATTTTATATATAACACAATTTGTAAAATTATATTTGTTATAATGCTATATTAGGTATACAGATATTTATTTCATTTCTATAAAATAATTTTTTTACATTATTTAGCATGATTTCAAAGTTTTAATAGAGTAAAAAATATCCCTTAAAATCTTGTGTCTGTTATGCATTTTAAAAATATTCAACACAAAAAATTTGTAAATTGTTAAAAATATAAAAAACTGGCACATTTTATATCTATTCTTTCAATTTATACATTTTTATGCATTAAATAATCACTACTTTCATTAAATACATAATCTGGTAAAATTGCCTACATTTGTATAAACAAGTATTCAAAAAGAGCAATTATTAAAAAATAAGTAAGACAAAACCTTTCACACTTTATTTCTAGCAGTTTTAGTCCGTAAGGACAAACGTTTTTGGCCATTTTGAATGGCCTTCTTCAGGTACAATAAGGTCGGTTGGAACGTCGGTTAGCAAATATTGAAATGACGTCACTGTTTACAAAGGTTTCTTCTTACTAGTGACGTCATTGCTGATTGAAACCATTTGAAAGAACTATCAGAAACCATTTGAAAGAATATAACTACACCATTTCAAACACTCATGAACTCATCACTAAATTAAAAAATATTGCTCTAACAGAATAACAGATCAAGAACTCATTACAATTCTAGATTTTGAAGCTATGTATCCTTCCATTAAATTGGAACTGTGCTTCTGTGCCATTAGAGATTTCCTCTTTCAAGCCGTTCCACCTAGGCCCAAAACACCACAAGCAGATTTTAGAGCTAGCCCATCTAATGTGCTATACCTCTTTTTTTATCTTCATCCAGCAAATCTATCTTCAAAAAAGAGGGGTTCCAATGGGTAGTCCCTTATCTGGAGACCTCTGTGAATTAGTAGTTAGAAAATTATATTTAAGCTGTTTATTCAAAATATCCGAATCTAATGCTCTAAATCAGAATTTCTCAACCTGAAGTATTCGAAAAAAAGCCTGTAATAGCAACCAAACGTAATTTTAAATTATAATTTTTTTTTTCAATTTTTATCTAGGTGGTTCAAAATTTTCCAAACCAAAATCTTTAAAAGCTGTTTACTAATATTTTATGGGTTTTACAATATTTTATACATTTATGAAGATTTACATTTATTTATTTAATTATTTAATATCAATTGATCTTGCATTTATATTACTAAAGTAAGTGTTGTTGTATTTTAAATTGCAAATTAATAATTAAGAAAAATGATAAGGAAGTAATTGTTTAAAGTTTTATTTACAACAATAAAATAATAATGGAATACTTTTCTAGTCCACCATAAAGTAAATGAACCCACATTATGCTATTTACATTATATGAAATTTTCCATTTTCAAGAAAAAGGTACAGTACATGGACTAGAAAAAATTGGAAACTGCTAATCTAGATGTATAGATCTTTGAATCATAATCCACAGTATAAATTATGTTCGATACTTTCATTATTCAGATATTTAAAGAATTCTTTGAAACATATTTCCATGCAAATTTAGAGCATGCTGTCCGTTTGTGTCAACTTCTTTTGGCTTATATGAATGCTGCACTGCTGTATAAATTAAATGTAAATATACTGATACCATAACTATTCAGTGATAATACTGAGGTAACCATTATAAAAAAAAAGCTAAAATAAATGCTTCCAATTCTATATTTTTAAAAGTAATGAGTTATTTTACATACCTGTACGTTGTGGAATTTTATCCCATATATGATAGCATGCTCTTATATGCATGGAAATAACATATATGCATATTTCCACATATTATATAGTATATGTATAAACAAATATATGTATATTATAAGCATAGTTTATTCATATATTATCAAAATTGCCTTCTATTTAATTTATTTTAATAATTCTGAATTCTGATGAATACTATTAAATTTAACTCAATATTGTTGTTTGGACCTCATTATAATAATACAACATAAATACGTCCCAATAATTTCAAAGATTACTGAATGAACTGATCTAAATAAACTGAAACAAGACAGTATTTGTAATTCCTTCTTAAAATTGACATTTGCATGCTCTCTATGTAGTTAAATATTATAGACATAAAAATTATAATTTGTTATTTACTTGCTTTAACTATAAATAAATTTATATTAAAATCCATTTTACATATTAACAACTTTGAACCAAAAATGTTTCCTGCAATATTTCTTGTATATTTAATTGTTTTTTTTTCATTTTCTTTCAATGTATTTTATATCTTGACTCTATGTAGATTGATATATATATATATATATATTCATGTTTTTACAAATTCACATTCCAGAATGATTCATTCATTCTCATTGTAAGCCACCATCTTTAAAAGGAACAAGTTAACAAAGAAGCAAACAGCTCAAACATGTTATTGTCATTTGATTTTAATAAGCTAGGCTAGCATACTTCTCAATAACTAATAATTAATTTAATATTCTCATATACAATTCAGAATGTAACTCACACATTAAAAGTTGTAAATATAAACCAAACAAAATATCATGAAAATGGATAAAAATAAGATAGCACATTTAAAAACCTTATATATATGCAAAGTAAATATATATGTATATATTTACTTTGTACATTGTTTTAAAAATTCTTTAACATATTACATAATCTATTAATATCTTCATTTAAATACAAATTGATGAGATAAAATTTTTTGTGTGGTTTAAAAAAATATATATTTTTATAATTAGTTGTTTACTAATTAACTTTTTTAATGCGATGACGTATATATTGTTAATTAAACTTTAAAGAATCCTATCTAGTTAAGATATCTTATTATTTGTAACTTCTACATATTATACGCGTATAAATAAAAAGAAAATAATTATTTACAGATTTATCATTCTCTTATAAACCAAATTTATAAATAAATCATTGTAGTATTATTATAAAGTAATATTACACAAGAAATGAATGAATATATATGATAAAACTATATAATTTAAGATTTTAAAAATGAAATTTATATAATTTCAACTCTTAAGCTATATTATACATTTAATTTCTAATAATCTTTATTAGATTATTAGAAATAAGAATAAATTAATTACCTGTCTGAAATAATTCATGCTTATAATTAAAGATATTGTTTTTTCAAGAGAAATATATCATGTAAACATGACAGGTACCTTTAAACATGGCCACGCCCATAAATTACTTATTTAATAATTTAAAAATGATTAAATCCAAATATAAAGCATATATTATACTTTTTAATATATGAGATTTATAATATATCAGCAATATGCTTACCGTATTATATTATTAAATATATCAGGGAAAATATGTGATAAAATTTAAAGGTCTTAAAAAGTGTCAAGTCACTTTTAATGATTAATAAACAATTATAATCCGTTAACGGATCTTTAACTTTTGTTTATTCCCCATTTTAGAAATTTTTGTCGTGTCGTTATTATTCAAAATGTTTTTTATTCGAAAAATAGTATTATTCTCTAGTTGATTTGTTCGTTTACCTATTACAACTTGCCTTATAACATAGAATTCGTCATTTAAAATAATATTTTCTTACAATTTAACTTCTTTCAATATAAAACACTTCTAATAAATAAAGTGCCCTATTCGAAACACGTAAACTGCAAATGTAACACCAGTTCCTAGTGTACGAGAGTACGAGAATAAATTTCTTTTTTTAAAATGGAGACGAGACGTTATAAAAATTCAAATATTAAAACGATTCGAAAATTTATTTTAGCAATAATAAATTATAATAAATATATTTAGTTACGTTATTAATTATTTTTAATATTAATTTATATTGATCACTAATTTATAAAAAGATAAAAATGTAAAAATATAAATGACGCTAATATGATATCTATATCTATATATAAATATAAAAATGGACGTATGTGTGTGTGTGTGCGCCTATATTTCACTTTGCAGCCGAAACTATACATCGGACATGAATGATGTTTGTGTGTGGTAGTAGTCCGAGTCTCCCATCGTGCACTATGGTGATGGCGTATCGATAACTATAAGGGTGTGGGAGATATGGGGTTGAAAGAGGTTGACTTCTAAAATGTGTAACAATGGAAGTGTCAATAATGGAAGTGTTAACGATGGAAATGTTGAGTAACAAAGGAGGTGTTAAGATAAAACGGCGTGCAAGATTTATTGGCGCAGATAAGTATTTTTGCGTTTTTGCGGGAAATCGAACATATTTTTAGTCCCATGTAAAAATTCTCTAATTAGTCTGGAAACGGGGGACCTAATTCTTGCATTTCGTGAAAACGGGTAAGATTGGCTATAATATAATCTTAATCTTAAATGTTTTCGAATAATCGAAAATGTTTTGGAATAGTCGAGGACCGTTATGTGTGGGTAGGGAGATGGCTTTTGGAGACGTGTGACGCATACGCTTCAGTTGATTTTTCATAAGTAAAAGTGTACGAATAACAGAAAAAAGTAGAAAGTGAAAAGAGAAGTGTGAAAAGTAAAAATATACAAAATAATGCCAAAGCGTAAGAAAGAATTTTTGCAGTCTCGAATCATATCTCAAAGGTAAAAGATGGCGCGGAGAAATGAAACCACGGAAGAAAGAAAAGTACATCTAACATTGCTACGAGAAAATTATCAACGAAACAGAAATAATTAGACAGAAGAGCAACTTGAAAATTATAGGAAAACACATCGAATCAGAGAAAGATTATGTAGAGGAAAAGAAACAGTCTTATATATTGCATATAAATGTACGAACAAATAAAAACCCAGCGAAGCGGGTACTTGCAGCTAGTACTATATAAAATTTAATTTATTATTATTGATCGTGCGCAACAATAATTATTTTTAAATAATATTATCACAAACAATTGTCATTTAAGGAATATTAATAATTACAATCATGTTCAGGGATAAAAAAGACGGTGATTTAATACTCAAGCATAAAATCATTGAAGAAACTGTACGCAAAGAAAAAGAATGTCAAAAAATTTATACCAATTATACCGTAAATCCGTATAAATTAGGTATGTTTAACTTAATTCGCTTAAAATAGCTATAAACTAAATGAAGGATGGATTTAATATTTTTCTAGATAATATTTGATGATGATAAAATAATAATGGCTTCAGGAATCGGATAATCTCAGACTGTACAGCGTTAGTCTTTCATACAAAATGGTGTGGATTTTTTTTCCTAGGGGAAATGCGTGGCCCCGAGAGAATGGGAAGCTGTCGGGGCAGTGGGTCACCCTGTATAAATGTTAGCCAGTGGCCAAAGTTATTTCATTATTTGGAAGAAAAAAAATAGTCGGCAACAAACAATTTTTCGCTCTGATGGGCACACTAAAGCTCATGGTCCCCGCTGCACCTCCTCTCGTAGGCCTGGGGAAATACCTAAATTTTACTTAATATCCTTCAATTTCCGCTTTTCTCGAATAAAAATTATAAGCAGCTGGATTTTATCAAAAAATTTCTTAGAATATTTGTCTTAAAGTGTGCGTTCCGCCTTTTTTTTTTTAACTTTGTTTGTAAATATGATTTCGCTTGTCATCACGACCCTACGAAATACAATTATCACGATTTTCGGTTAAAATAAATAAAACAAAAATAATAATAAATTAACGTATAATACGAATAAAATGCAGAAAATTTCATTAATATTGTTATAAAGTGAATTATTGAAAATACATAGTGGATCAGATCTAAACATAATGGGAGAATTTGCGATTGTTTACTGTTGAATGCCTCATCAAATAATCAGTTTGAAAATATATTTTCGCGATGTCATAAATGCGTGGTGATGCATCAAGAATCTCTAACAAGAACGGTTTGGAATTTTGTTGTGTTAATGTGTTTACATAAAATATATTTTTTTTTTTTGCTAATAACCAGCGTACTGTATCTCGCTTCAAGACGTTTTTCAATTATATACGTGATATATGCTTAATTAATAAATGTACTAGCGTGTGAAAAAGGCTTTACTACAGTGGTCTGGAACTTAATCCGCTGTATTAGAGAGATATTCCTCTTTTATTATTAACTAAGATAGGACATTACACAATTATTATTAATTTATATACTGTATACAGTATATATAAAATTCAAAAATTATAGCGAGTTGTTTACCTATTTCAAAGAACCCACTCATATACACAAATTGGTAGTTTTAGACCGAATTTCTTAAGCCCGGTGCAAACTATTTGCTGCCGTGGCTTTCGATGTGACGTCGTGTGAAATTTATATAGTCACGTTAATATTTTCTTTCGACGATCTCGCAATGTCACTGCTCGTGATATCACTCATAGCGTAGCTCTAAAGAACCAATGAACATTTCTTTTACTTCTCCCTGTGGGTACTAAGAGAGCCACTTTTAGCAAGCCTATTATGGATTCGGTCAGGCGCACAATTAGACGGCCGGATGATGAGGTACGGGTGTCGACATATCCGGTCGACACCTATTCTATAGGGAGATTTTACAGGGAGGTTTGTTATTAAATTTTGGTAATTGAAGGTCAAGGGAGTGGGTAGATAATGGGGATCTTGTGTAAAATCGTCGTTAGCATTTAGTTTTTTTTTTTTTTTTTTTATGAAACTCATCCTTACCCTCAAAATTGAGCAACTCGTTGCTGGTTTATTTAAAAATTAGATAGGCTAAATATAAATACAGTAGAACATCGATTATCCGACTCAATTGGGGACTGGGGTTAGTCGGATAACCGAAAAGTATGAAAAAATCCATTAGTGTAGTACAGTAGAGCCTCGATTGTCCGACCCCGATTAACCGACATCTCGGTTAACCGACTGTCCTAGTCGGCAAATTTCAAATGTCCGCTAGTGATGTGGCGCTACAATATTTGGCTATGTCTTGGCTACTTTAATATTATTTTTACGTGTTTTAGCTGGCAACACTCATTCGACCATGAAAGGGAGCTAGTATTTAAACGAGGCTTAATTTTCTAATTTTTAACGATACAATAGCGACGATTATTATTTTAAAAAATTTTTGTTAGGCTTAACATCGATGAAAATTCAACGCGAAGTAGGTTAATAGCGATATACTAATATACTAATTACATGGGATATAATAATATACTACACTAATAATGGATTTTTTCATACGTTTCGGTTATCTGACTTTTCAATTATCCGACCAACCCCAGTCCCCAATTGGGTCGGATAATCGAGGCTCTACTGTATATTATTATATCCCATGTAATTAGTATATTAGTATATCGCTATTAACCTACTTCGCGTTGAATTTTCCTCCATGTTAAGCCTATCAATTTTTTTTTTTAAATAATAATTGTCACTATTGCATCGTTAAAAATTATTTCTTTATTTTGCACAAAATAAATACAGTACTGTACTGTACATTGAAAAATATTTAAAAATATACAGCCAGCTAGTATTCACCCTACTATAAACCCTTCGCCTCCTGTAAGTTTTGAGAATGTCCCGGGAAATCCAACATCAGCTGTTGTCAAGGTCATCCAGCTGTAAACACAATGACTGGTCAGTGTCAAATTTCGCAGAAAGGCGAGACAATGGAAAATAAAGTTTGAAGCTTTTTCTTCAAAAATAACGCATTTCTTTTGCTTTTTTTCAGTTTTAAGTATTTTTTATGTTTAACAAGAACATTTATTAGCTTGCGCACATCCGACTTGGATCTTACACACAAGATATCTGCTATCGTGAACAATTGACGAAATAAAAGTGTACATTTATCAGAGAATAGACAAAGATTCAGTTTGTAAACAATTTACCTTTTGTATATACAACTGACACTCGGTCCATAGCGGTCTTTCAATGACCGGACATAAAAAATGAACAGATGACGCTTAACTTAAGCGCGGTTTACAAAACGAATATGATTAATCTTAACACAACCACTCATAATTAAAAAATTAAGCCTCGTTTAAATACTGGCCTTCCTTTCATGCCAGTGTAGCCAGCTAAAACACGCAAAAATTTAACGAAAATAATATTAAAGTAGCCAAGACATAGCCAAATATTGTAGCGCCACATCACTAGCGGACATTTGAATTTGCCGACTAGAACGCGGTCGGTTAATCGGGGGTCGGATAATCGATGCTCTACTGTATTCTCTTATGAATAAGTCAATAAATTAGTTTTTAATAATTATTATAATACCTTGATATTTGTCCGGTATAACACTAGGCTAAATAGAACAATAATCTACTACAAGTTGACATTCAAAAATCCGGTTTCTTCAGATTTCCGGCATGGATTTCGGAGCACATTTTCGTTGGCACGCCATTGTTTTCTGGAATCTTCTAACTAAAATTCTGTAGGACTGTTTTTATGTAGTTAATGAACATTAAAATTTCATTTGCTTTTCATTTAGTGTTTAATTTTCTTTCTTTAAAGGATTATACAGGTAGTCATTTTCTGTAAATATACAGTATACAGCATATATAACCATTAAAAATCCGGCACTCCTCAGGTCCGGAAGTTACTGGAATTTTGAATTTTAACCTGTAACAGAAATACTATAATAATAATTTTAAAAAAAAGTGTTTATTATGCAAGTGAATTTTCTAAACGAATTTCTTTGTAGGAGATATTATGGCATCAAAATTTTATTCTAAATACGAATCTGTTTCTGTTCCCGAGGATCGTAAGTATTGATTTTAAATGATATAAATATAATATTTTATTAACCTACACATTTAAAATTTATGGTGAATAATTATTTGAATAATAACTATAAAAAGAGCAATTGTTTATTGTGACATCGTCACAATGCCGAGTTGTAATTTTTAATCATATTTTTATTTTATTTTATTTAAAATATATGTTTTCCACCTCAAATTAATAGTGGCTTGCTCCTGTACATCATACTTTTCCTTTAACAATAGAGTCGTGCCTGTCATCTATCTAATACCTTTCAGGGGAAAGTTTTGAATTGAAATAACGTGACTTTCGGTTTACATTAGAAGTTCATATGTCGTTAATCAAGGCCTCCTGTCTGTAAAGTTTCTATATGTGATCTTGAATTTTATTTATCTTAATTGATTCTCGAGATTAAGAAAGGACAGACAGAGGACGACAGTGGGAATTTATAGGTCTACAATTTTTTAAATTATTTGATTAATTATTCTAATATATTTTGTTAATCTTATCTTATTCAATTATGTTATAATTGAATATTTATGTATCTTTAATTGTTTGATTTAACTATTTAGATTTATATGTACTGTACAATAATTACATCAAATAGAAATTAATTTTACACATTTTGTTCTTAGATAAAGAAGGGGAGCTAATGTTGAAAATGCCTCTGTATTTGTTAAAGATATGCCATTTTAAGAAATATGAGATGTATTTTCTCAAATTTAATTTTATATTTGGTATATATGGAATATACAAAATATTTGGGCCTGCTTACTTGCGATTTACTCTTAATTTGGCACTTAGACAATGGTATAAAACTATGTACTATATTTTGCTTCTCTGTAAAGCTGATCAAAATTGATTAGATCTATAAAAAATAAGCAATTCTAAAATCTATTCATTTTATGAATAACTGACAAAAATCTAGTTATTAAAAAAATACATTAAACGAGTCACAATAGAAAAGAACAAGAATATTAATTAAAAAGACAAAGAAATATTTGTCTTTTAGATTTAATAATTGTCTGGATTGAATGTAAATGTAATTGTAGCATAATGTATTTCATAAAATTTCAGTTTATTTTATCAAAAATTTTTTATGTATTTTTTAATAATATTATTAAGATTCCTATCATTAAAAATTTATATTAAATAATATAAAAAGTATAATAATTGTATAAACTTTTTTAAAAAAATATCTACAGCAGCGAGTTTAGAAGTTATCAAACGTTCGAAGACAATCCCTGCTAACAGATTTCCATATCCTCTGACTGAATCACAGCACATGACGTGGATAACTGATGAAATGGTAATAATATCTAATTAATTAATAAACATAAGATTGATGACATTAGTCGGCGGGATGGCCGAAGAGATTAAAACATCAGCCAACCGCTCTGGGTACACTGGATCAAATCCGAGTCATATACTCACTAGGCCCAAGCCTGGAAAGCAGAATTTCGAATACCACAATAAAAAAAAAATAATAATTTTATGTAGAAACAATTCATAAAGGAATTAGTGCAAATTAAAAGCTTGAGTATAAACAAAAGACACATCAGTTAAGTTGTGTTTAATAATACTGTATTTGAATATATTTTGCATGAACAGAGTGGTAGAACTAATGATAGGTTTTTAAAGAGGCCCTCTTAGTGCTCACGGGACGGGAGTCAAACACAGTAGACCCCCTATAACGTTGTAGATAATTCCGCGTTATATGAATTCCATGTTGTACGAGTCACTTAGATTTTACAAATACGTGTGCCGGGCTGTGAACTACTCACGTATTTGTAAAATCTAAGTGACTCGTACAACATGGAATTCATATAACGCTGAATTATCAACAGTGTTCTAGGGGGTCTATTGTAATAATAAAATATGATTGTACGTCGTTTTCCATTATTTGACGTACTGTATATTTATACTATTTATATCATTTCAGTTGCATTCAATTAATACTGTAATAAGAAAAGTACAGTATCTAAGTTATCTTACAACTGTTCCTCCGATAATAAACAACTTATAATTAAACTTTAACAGGAAGTAAAAAATATAAGACAATTCTGAAGCACTATATATATGTTTTTATATCCTGTCGAAAATTATTTGCCTTGTCTTTAACATAGAACGTTCATTATTTAATGTATAATTGTAGCTTTTCTGTTGTAAATTTCTAATCTAAACCTAAATATTTCTAAATTTCTATCTAGAATTAGAAATTCCATGAAAGTTTGATAACACGTTTAAAAAAATCCATCGACTCCCGTCACTTCCTCCGTAAAAACACTTAAAATTGCGTGTGCCATCTGTTATGATATTTATTTTAAAAAATTTCATATTTATATTTGAATTATTATAAAATTAATTATTATAAAATGGCAAAAAGCTTAATTTAGAGATCAGTTTTATATATAAAAAAATTGTAAATGCTAATAACGAGTAAAATCTTCATTAAATCTTACCCAACTATATACGACACATGATTCGCCCACCAATGGCCGAAAAACCACTGAACACTTGTGGGTCCTGGGTTGACGCTTTGCCAACGCGCTGGCCACGTGGAGTTTTCTGAGTTTCTCCACGTCTGTAACGCCTAAATAGAAGCCAGTTTTCCTTAAAAAGACCTCCCGGAAGGCATCCCCTTAGGCAGATCGCCCAAGTGTTACGTTGCCATAATTTAATAAAACAAACAAACCCTCAATAAACAAATCTCCCTGCAAAATTTCAGAAATTTTCGACAAAAGACAAATGAGTTATTAAGCTTTAAAGCGGGTGAACAAAATCGTACCCTCTCATATACAAATCTTGCGAGGTTATTTCTTGACCGATCGCCATACTTTTCCTCTGTTATTTAAAATAGAAAAAGTAAAAATTCAAGGGGTGCGGTTGGTTGTTTGTTTACTCTTTCTGCCCTGTGGGTACTAAGAATGCTTCTTTTAGCAAGCCCATTATGAGTTCGGCCAGACTCAAAATGGGGCGGCCGGGTGGTGAGGGATGGGGTCCGACATATCCGGTCGGACCACCTCCCGAAAAATTCCTGGGGATTTTTGATCCATCTATATTTGATTCCGGGTCCCCCAGAGCGGCAGGCTGTCACCGTGATCGTTCGACCATCCTGCCGGGGTGCGGGTAGTAGAAAAGATTAAGAACTATTGTTCTGATTACAGTAATGGGTCACTATAATACCATCGTTAAATAAACCAATAAAATAGAAATAAATCGATGCCAGTATGGAAATTTCAGGATCGGTTGAAAAAAGACTCTCTTAGCCTCAGGACAATAAAAGTAAAAAAATCAATTGAGTAAATCTTGTGACTGTTTTTATTCATTTGGCCATTTTATTCGAACGTTATTATTTCAATAGTTTCGAATATATAAAATGGCAAATATTTCTATAAATAATTATAAAAATTAAGTGCTCAATAAATATTTATATTCTATATATAAATTATTCATCTGTTTTAAATGATAAATTCAACGTAGTAGAAAATTGTTTTTGGTTTTTGGGAATTAATTAAGAGAAGCTTTTAACAAGCTTTCTCAATGCCCAAAGGCGAAAACACCGGGAGGAAAAGGGAGAGGAAAATGAATGATCGGGAAGTGGAGAACGAGTTAGACATATCTGACCATGAAAAATTGTTGAGGATTTAAACTCAGATTCCTCCTTCGATCCATGAGTAGATGTCTCAGTATCATAGGATAGGGAAATCCCTATTTTATGAGACATTAATAAGCTATTTAAAACACTTATCAGTAAAATATATTTATTAATAGACTGTTTAAGTTTAATTATAGTGTATTTTATTATTTTTTAAATATTGTTTTGTATATTCTAGATACCGGTACCAATAGACAAAAATGACATCAGACTCTATCATCCTAAGAAACGAAGCTCCATTACAAAATTCATGGATTACTATTTTTCATGTAATAAAAACAAAAATAATTAAAGTGAAAAATAAATTAATAAAATTGAAGCACACCAAAATTATCTGTTAAAATTATCTAACATTTTAAAACATATTTGTGACATTAATATTTTTATTTATAAAAGTTTTTCTTTTTAATTTTAAGAGATGATGTCTTTTGTTTCTATTGTGAAATTTTTAATGTATCTTCGTCTAGCTTAATTAAGTAAAGATGGCTACCGTAATTAGCAACATGACAATCTCATGAAACTTCAAAACATCACTTAGTTGCTCAAAAATCGTGGTTTGGGCTAATGCACAGACTGAAATCTTCTCTCACAATAGATGTAGAATCTCAAAGAATTAATCCAGTTAAATAAAATGGGGTTACTTGTACAGACTATCAGAGGACCAGGCTACGACAACGGGTCTGATATGAAGGGTGTTCTTACTAGACTTCAAACTAGGATAAAAAAATTTAAACACTAGAGTCTTTTATGAATCATGCAGTAGCGATTCATTAAATCTTGTGGTAAATGATATGGAAAAATCTTCACTAGAAGCTGTAAATTTCTTTATTATAGTTCCAAAGATTTATGTATTTTTTGCATCATTAACTTTGCGATCGTCATCCTTTTAAAACACGTAGATGGTTTAACATTAAAACCACTAAATGACACAAGATGAGAGAGCCGAATAGATGCAATAAAACCACTAAAGTATCAAATAGATAATGTTTACGATGCATTATATAAACGAAGATTCGGATATGGACACTTCTGCGCGAAATGAGGATTCCGGTTTATCGAATCAACTTAAAAAGTTTAAATTTGTATGTTCAATTATAATTTGGATTGAAATTCTGAACCGAATTAATTCTATTAGTAAATTAATGCAAAGTAAAGATTTTAACTTAGCTTCTGTAATGGATTTTCTATAAACCACTAAAAAATTTTTCAAAATTGTCGGTCAAATAACTTTTTTAACCAACTACTTGCAGATGACAAGGAGATAGCCGATGAAATTGATATATTAATTATTAATTTGTCCGGTTTTTCGTAGAAATTGTGAAACTATGATGAAAACAAAATAAATTTATAAAAATATTTGCGAGTATTTTATTTTAACGGTTAAAGACTTTAACTTCACACCTCTACCCAAACTTATTCCTAGGCTGAGAGTGACAAAAAATGTACAGTACTTTTAAAATTCTAACTTCAAATATTAGGTTTGTTTCAACACCAGTCCCTAACTGGTTTAAAACTGGCATGCCCATTGTTCAGTTCTTGGCTGTAAAATGACATTGCGCATGCCTAGTACGGTTTCAGATTCAAACCAGTCAGGTACTGTACTTGTGTTGGAACAAACTTATTGTAAAGCGAATGTGACAGCTTCAGTTTACAAGTTTATAATTTCTATTATAAACTTTTATGTATTATTTTTGCAATTAATATCGACATCGTACTGTTATTAATTATTTTTGGATATGCCACATGTGATTATTGTATTACTTTAATAATACAGTATATCATATACTGTACCTTCTAATAAAACAAAAAATATATTCATTTTCTACTCACAATAAAAAACCTAATTTTTTTTTAAATTTAATGTATTTGTATTTTTTGGGGTAATGTTATGCTATTTCACGTAGGGAGTAAATCAGATTCTTTAAAATTAAAATTACACAATGCCTATATATATATATAAGGGGCGGCAAATAACTATCTTGCCCAGGGCGCATAATTGCTAAGCTGGCCTCACGTCGGACAGATCGGAAGGGATTGAGCTTTGGTAGACGTCTGTTAATTTCATTAAATTTTATACGGTTTATGCAGTGGTGATATTCGAAATATTTAACAAAGGGTTCTCTAACGCGGTAAGTCACTAACACCGACAAACAAAATGGAAGTTTTGGTTAGAAATAAATACAATACTTTTTCTTGCGATATATCTAATTATAGACAGATGTCATCGTCTCTCGAAATACAATATCTTTTTTATTTCGCTGTCGATAGCACGACACGTGTTCCGCAGCCATCTTGTATTTTCTCGCATGCGCGGGATTGTGGGATCTCTCTCTTGACTGGATCTAGGGTACGTTCGTAAAGTCGAACGAGTTAAACGAGAATGACGTCATCGTTATTCGAATCGTTCGAACTAAATAAAGTTAGACTTTTCGAACGATTCGTTTATAACTAAATGGATGTTTCTAAAATCGAAGATATGAATGTTGTTAGTGCAGCCTTATCAGAAATATTTTTCTTAGATTGCTTCGGGTGGACAGTTACTCCACTCATTTCATCTTTTAATTCACAATTTAAACACTCGAGTAGATTTAGAAACATCGATATCGTCGGGCGCCATTTTCTTAACGAAGTAAACTAACTCTTTCCTTTGTGAACTTCATTAGAGTTTCATTTGAAACGTTATCACTCCAGAGCATGCGCACTGGGCGAGACTACTACTATTCGAACGATTCGTTACTAACGCGTTTAACTGGTTTGACTTTACGAACGTACCCCTAATTTCAAGAACTCTCTTGTCGATAGCGGTTGAAACTCATTTCAGTCAAGATGGAAACGGTCAAGGTAGGTCGCACCAAGACGAACGGGGTATAAGGCTCTAGTTTAGTAGTGTTACAGAGTATAATACGTATATTTTAATATATTTTTTAAAAGAAACAAAACCACTGAGAAATGTTACGTATGTTTAACAAGGTTCGGAAAACTTGGAAAATATTAACAACGAGTTCGGCCGAACCTGTGCGAACCCGCTGAATATCACCACTGGGTTTATGCATTTTACTCATTTATTTCAAAACTTCTATGCTTCGTTTTTACTTATGGTATCCATCATTCATAAGGTAATAAATGTTTTAAGGGAAATCGAGTTTTGTTAGGCATCCGAGGAGAGGAAGTATAAAAATTTCAAGAAAAATGCGGACGTAATTTATAGACAGCCCTTTACTGTACAATCTATATCTATAAAATTAAAATTTCGACAATTTTCAATATTTCTTAACGGTCAACTGTAATACAGTGGAGTCCCGAAAACTCGGCACTCGATAACCCGGCAGTCCGGATAACTCGGCCACACCCTGGCAGGGCAAAAAACCCTTAGTTAATTAATTTTCATTATAGACAGCTTTATGCCTCATAAAGTATTTTTCTGAGGTCTGTCTTATCAGGTAAATTACTGTACACAGTGTATTCATTAATTTTCATTTTCATGTAGTAAAGGCTCTATGCCTTCATAAAGGACGTACTTTTCCTTTGTTTAAGGGTATTTGGGCAGTTTATTCTCTGTTGTATTCTCAAGCAAACAATACATACAAGTACAGTACA